TATCCAATTGGCATTTATTTAGCCCTCTGGTGTTCAAATAAAAGAGAAGTATGAGTTATTTCATGGAGTTATCTATCATTCTATTCATTGAGTTAAAGCTTTTTTTTTTTTTTATTTCAGCATATTATGGGGGTACAGATGTTTAGGTTACGTATGTTGCCCTTGGAGTTAAAGCTTTTAAACATAGAAATCAATAGTAGACTAGTTGATGATCCTACAAAAACAAGTGTTAAATTACCCAGAAAAGTTAGTGTATTTTCACATGAATGATCTCTTTTAAACCTTAAAATGATAACAGTGGTTAATATTTATAGTATGCCTACTATGGGCTAGGCAGTGTGGACTTTTCTGAAATTATTTCATTTAATTTTCTAATAACCCTATAAAGAGATACTTACATAGTCCCTACTCTATAGATGCAGAAACTGAGACTTGAAGAAGTTAAGGAGGGGTCCCCTTTAAAAACGTGTGGAAAGTGAGATGAGAGACCGTGTGTGACTTCTGTAAGATCACTTGCCTTCCATTGTAGTGCTTTCTTCCATTTAGTCAGACTCTGATTATTATAGAACTAAAGGCAGAGAAGGGAGTCTGGTCTGTACCAGTGACCATATTCACTGTCTGTTCATTGACAGGTTCAAAGACTCAACCATTATTTGAATTACAACCTTGAAATTAAACAAGGTCAAACCTTACCCCACTAAGTATGTCTATACCTAAACATTTTAATTACTACCAAGTACATCAGCTGTTAATTTGCATTTCCTAATATAATTAGTGCCTTCATAGTTTCCCTTAAATTCAATAAATTTATTGAGACAAGTAAAAACACTCAGTTCAATAGCTGATGAGTGGTAAAAACTCAATAAATCTTAGCTGAGTGATGGAGTCAATAAAAGTTAGACATCAAATTAAAAACAGAAAATGGTGTAGGTCCTCCGTGCTCTTTCTGTAGTATTTTTGTGCAATGTAAAGCTCTTTAAATATTTGTATAAATTCAGGTACAGCTTGACTTCAAATTATTAACTTATTATATTATGTTAGAAAAAAATTAGAGAATAAAATCTGGTACTGAGAGGAAAGTAGAGCCAGGGGTACATTTTAATTCCCACTCACAGATCAAAATGACTCAACTGCCGAGAAATATTTTAATCTTATTTTCATGTTAACATTTGACCCCAATGACTTGCCTTTTGTGCTACACCCAGACAAAAATGTCCAATAATGAAAAATGAGCGTTTGTAATTGGCTAAGTATTCCCTTGAAAGAGATTGTAAAAAGGGAAAGCAGGAGGTTATGTGTCTCTCCCTCTTTTTTTTCCTGCAAAGATATATCTTTTATAATGTTCAGTTAGTTACAAAGAAAAAAGTTACAAAAGTAAAGAAGGGCTTCTTCTTGCATTAGTTGCCTGAAGTATGATTTATTCTGAGCCACATTGTCTTGCATTTTAAGGCACTCAAACATGAGATCTTTTAACTTACCATCTCTGTACTGTCTCCTGAAGAATTTATACAAATATATATGTCATTGCTTTTGGAATAAAAGCCAGAGATTTTTTTTCTCTTTAAATCAATCCTCAGAAATGTGCCTTAGAAAAGAAGTCCCTAAATAAAAGCTGAAGAATCTAAACTATTATGAATGCAAAACAATTATGAATAAATTTTTTGTACTCAAAGAAAAAGCTGCTGACATCATCTAACTTGCAAAAGAAAAGTCGGCCCACGTAACATTCCTGAAGTGATAGTATTGGCTTCATTCAGCACTCAGTAGGCATTTAACCCCTTGAATAAATAAACTGAGCTCATAAGATTCCAATAACTCAATACGGCAGAAGTCTAGCCAAAGGTTTGTATGTAAACATTAGACTTATAGGTGATTAGGTGGTGAATGTTTATTTGAAAAACTTCAAGAAATCCTGGTGCTTACTGGGGCTAGTGAAAGGTCTTTGTTTTAAGTAAGTCTTTCCATTCATGAAAATGTTTTTGCACTGAGGGCACTATTCAGAAATGGAAAATTTCTTAATGGATGAATGATTTGCAGACTTAGCTGGGTCTATCCAATGCTGTCATAATGGGACCCATTTAATAAATGTCCCCAGACAAAATGGTATTGTAATGTTAGGCTAGCCT